ACACACACACACTCACTCACTCATACATACACACACACACACTATACTACACACACACACTCACTACACTATACTCTCACACACACACACTATACTCACACACAAACTCACACACACTATACTCTCACACACACACACTATACTCACACACACACACACTATACTCACACACACACACACACTCACACTATTACTGCCCCCGCTGCTGCTCGTGCTGCTCAATACTAGGCCACTGAACAGAGAAATGATCTCCCATCAGGCCGTGCTGCAGGTGTCCAGAGGGGGGAGGAAGCAAACAAAAGGCCTTACAAACGAGTCTCTTTCAGTCAAACACATTCAGATAATGAAGCCCGGTGTGAACTGCAGCCTGCCATCATCATCATCAGACAGAGACAGCGGTCATGTGACCCAGAAACACGGATCACACGCAGAACCACGTTACCGTAGCAACCAGCAGACGGTAACCCTGCGACGTCAACCGAGGGCAAATTAATGTGAGCCGGCAGAAGCTGGTAACCAGCACACACACACCCGTCGACATACTGCAGATGCAGATCAGAAAATCAAGCAAACAATGGCTTATATTTAAACGTTTGGCAGACACGATCATTCATAGCGACTCACACTGCATTCAATCTATACATCGGTTTGATCAGTTCATGTATTCACTGTGAGCCAAACCCATGTCCTTCCACCATCCTGAGCTACAGCTGGGCTTCACACACACACTCTCTGATTTTACAGAAATGTTTGTTAGATTATTACATAATCATCCCAAGACCTCCTCATTCACACACCTGCACTATAAAGACCCATTACCTTCAGTATCACGATTCCTGTAATCATGTGAAGGTTTGACTATTTAAAACTGTCCTCACTTACAGTGAAACCTGTTGAGTCACTAGAGCTCATGAATCACATTTAAATCTGGTGTGGTTTCTCTCAGGGTTGAATTAGTAGTCAGAGGTCAGGTTAGAACACAGAAAATAGCATTAACCTGACAGAAAAACAGTGAAAGCCTATGAGATTAACTCAGTATGAGAGTGTGTGTCTGTGTGTCTATATATGTGTGTGCGTTTGTCTGTGTGTGTCTGTCTGTGTGTGTGTCTATATGTGTGTGTGTGTGTGTCTATATATGTGTGTGTTTGTTTGTGTGTGTCTGTCTGTGTGTCTATATGTGTGTGTGTCTGTATATTCGTGTGTGAGTGTGAGTGTGTGTCTGTCTATATATGTGTGTGTGTGTGTGTGTGTGTGTGTGTGTGTCTATATGTGTGTATATGTGTCTGTCTGTGTGTCTATATATCTGTGTGTAAGTGTGTGTTTGTGTCTGTATATGCACGTGTGTGTGTGCGTGTGAGAGAGTGAGTGAGTGAGTGAGTGAGTGTGTGTCTCACCGTCTCTGCAGGTCTTGTTGTCGTCCAGTAGCTGGACACCGGTCGGACAGGCGCACTGGTAATAAGGTTTGACCGGAGACAGCAGACACAGATGAGAACATCCTCCGTTCTTTAGCGTACAGGGACTCGTCACCTCTGTGTCACACACGTCAGACGAGGAAAACAGCATGAGAACATGACGACGTGCAAGCGTCCAACAGACTTGATTCACAGATAACAGTAAGGGTGTTTCACTGACTCTCTCTCTCTCTCTCTCTCTCTCTAACACACACACTCATCAACTCTCACACACACACACACACACACACGCACTTACACTCACATTTGCACACACACACACACACACTCTCATTAACTTACACACACACAAACAGACAAAAATGAAAAAAAAAAGAGTTCATTTAGCAACAGGGAATTCGTAAGAACTCGGGAGGAAGGGAAAAAATAAAATTCTCCAATGCATTGCAATTCTCTCTTCAATGATTTAAAACCATTTTAAAATAAAAATACAAAAACATGATTAAATCATAAAATTTTTTTATTTTTTATTTTTTATAATTAAAATAATCACATATTAAAAAACACAAAAATTGAAATTATATAATTTGAAATTAAATTTATTGGATCATGAGGTGCCTAAAGATTGAGAAACCGCAGGAAAAGCAGAGGAAGACGGTGAGAAAGATCTGCAGCGAGAGCAAGAGACGGAGGATTCTGTCAGCGCTGTGAGAAATTCTCTGCGTTCAATCTGAGGACAGAACAGATGCTCCATTGTGTGCGAGAAGCCAAACCAGGAGTCGTGTGTCATAATCATTTCTGCAGAGGCTCGAATCCAGCAGCGTTCAGGAAACTACTCTAGGAGCACTATGGGAAGAACAGGACACACACACTCTCTCTCACACACACACACACACACACACAGAAACACGCACGTGCGCACATGCACATACACACGCTCACGCACGCACACACACGCGCACACACACAAACGCACACTCACGCGCACACACAAACACACACTCACGCGCACACACAAACACACACTCACGCATACAATTTTTACATTTGAATTGACAATACAACACCAACCTATAGACAGCTTCTAATGTCTAACTAATTTAGAGATGCTTGATCGGTTGGCGCCGGACTAGGGGTGTGCGATATATATCGTCTGCGATAATATCGTAAATTCGTAATTGTTATTTTAACAATGTGCAATTTGACATTATCGAGTAATTTGTAAAAACCAAACAAAACACCCCTACAGAGCACACGCATACATTAGAGTTTTATTAATTATATTATTTATTATTTTATTTATTAATTAAAACTGTTTTATTAATTTTTTCATTCACAATCTCCTCACCACAGGCAGACACGTGTGTCATGTTCGTGTTTGTGTGTGCTGTCTGCACAAAACACCCCTACAGAGCACACGCATACATTAGAGTTTTATTAATTATATTATTTATTATTTTATTTATTAATTAAAACTGTTTTATTAATTTTTTCATTCACAATCTCCTCACCACAGGCAGACACGTGTGTCATGTTCGTGTTTGTGTGTGCTGTCTGCGTCACTCATAGCACGTGCCTATATCGAACATTTTTTCTATCGTTATCGATGGAGTACCGTCGATAAATATTGATACCATTTTATCACCCAGGCCTACATTTTATGTTTAAAATATCAAAACAATATCTATGCATTTGTAACTGCAGGTTAAAGCATTCATGTCCTGCATTAAACAGTGTGTAAACACATCTAAATGCCACTTCAGATGCAGATTCTGTGTTTCCTCTGCACTGCAAAGATTAATTTTGCTGATACTGATATCATTTGCCTGGTAATTAACAGCCCAAAAATGTCTTATTATTCTAATTGACTGATTAAAAGTAAGAATTTGACTCAAAAGATGATGCACACTTTTAGAAAAAATGGCTTTATAAAGGTAAAAATGCTTATAAAATGTAAAAATAATTTGATGGCGTTACCTGCCCGAGCCGTCCAGGTTGCAGCGGTGGATGAAGCTGAACTTGGCGTCGGCCCAGTAGAGTTTCTGCAGGTCGTAGTCGAGCGTCAGGCCATTGGGCCAGTAGATCTCGGAGTCGATGAGGACCGAGCGATGCGTCCCGTCCATCCCAGCGCGCTCGATCTTCGGGACCTCACCCCAATCCGTCCAATACATGTACCTGAGAAACCAGAAACAAGCGATAGTCACAGGGTTCTATGATTTCCACGAGGCAGAAAACGCAGACAGAAGCGCGGAATCCAGCGGAATTTACTGTATAATGCGGAATGTCACGGAATTTGCCACATTTTGGACAGATACACCAAAAGTAGGTCAGTACACTAAAATCAAAACACGATATGGACTAGTGTCTGTGAATATTAAGCTGCAAAAATACCATTTAAATATGAATACTATATGTTATGTGCGTCTCTGTGTGAAAGAATGTTTAGTTTACTGCACAAATACTGAGCCTCTGCCGTCTCAATATATGAGCACATAATCTCTAGAACTGCTCTGATAGTCACTTCATGAGCATTTTACCGTTTCTTTTGAGTAAAACTATCATCATATCATATATAATGATTACAATCAGAAACATAAAAGGTCTTCAGAGCAACCCGTCACAATAAAAGTTTGGTTAACTGGAAGAAACTGTGACAGAAATATTACTTACTGTAATGATAATATTACTGCTAATAATAATAATAATTATTAAAATTATATTTAAGGAATAATTACCAGAATTTATTTAGCAGGAGAAAATGTCAATACACAACACAGTATTTCTGAAAAAGAAATAAAATAAATAAATTCTTTATGAAATTGATTAATTAGAGATGCTTTTGATTATTACAATTATAATGAACCCATTAAAATGGAATCCAGAAAAAAAAAATAGAAAAAACACAGTATTTGGTAAAAAATGAATAAATAAAACAATTTCAGAAAAAAATAAAACATTTCATAGGGCCTTAAAAATGTAATTTTTGTTAAACCTGCAATAAATTGCTGTTAAATTGTGTAACCTTCATGATTTCAATTAATTAGACATGCTTTTTAAATACAAATTTAATTTAACCATTAAAGGGCACCTATTATTGCAAAATTCAATGTTACATGCTGTTTGAACATAAATGTGTGTTAGCAGTGTGTGTACACAACCACCCTATAATGATAAAAATACATCTTATTACAGCTATAGACGTGATTCAGTCCAGTGCAGCGAGTGAGTTTCTGCTTTTATTTTATTGTTTGGCTCTATATATTAACAGCGTAGTCAGCAGTATAAGTACTGTATATCACGCTGCTGTCGCTTAATACACAGATCTAATATAAACATGTGATTTCTTTCCCAGCTGTTTACCTTCACAGACACAACCAACTGTTTTTGTAACTCATGCGTGTTTTTAACAAACTTGTGTGAAAGAGAACTGCGTTTAGTACACACATGCCGTGTAACAGCTGCTTTCTGTGTGTTCGCTTCGGATGGGTGCGCTCAACAAACCGTATATATATATATATACCAGAAGCTTCAACTGATATGGCTTTAAAACGCAGGATTTCAGTGCGATAAACATGATAAACAGATGTTTTTTTAGCAGTTACGAGCTGTAAAGGCACTTCTCTATTCTGGAAAAGGGGGCGGGGAGCAGCAGCTCATTTGCATTTAAAGACACAGGCACAAAAACAGCCCGTTTCTGCTTCCACTCAACATTTTCAAAATGATATAATAAATGATCTGTGGAGTATTTTGAGCTGAAACTTCACAGACACATTCTGGACACACCTGAGACTTACAGTGGGTACGGAAAGTATTCAGACCCCCTTAAATTTTTCACTCTTTGTTATATTGCAGCCATTTGCTAAAATCATTTAAGTTAATTTTTTTTCCTCATTAATGTACACACAGCACCCCATATTGACAGAAAAACACAGAATTGTTGACATTTTTGCAGATTTATTAAAAAAGAAAAACTGAAATATCACATGGTCCTAAGTATTCAGACCCTTTGCTGTGACACTCATATATTTAACTCAGGTGCTGTCCATTTCTTCTGATCATCCTTGAGATGGTTCTACACCTTCATTTGAGTCCAGCTGTGTTTGATTATACTGATTGGACTTGATTAGGAAAGCCACACACCTGTCTATATAAGACCTTACAGCTCACAGTGCATGTCAGAGCAAATGAGAATCATGAGGTCAAAGGAACTGCCTGAAGAGCTCAGAGACAGAATTGTGGCAAGGCACAGATCTGCCCAAGGTTACAAAAAAATTTCTGCTGCACTTAAGGTTCCTAAGAGCACAGTGACCTCCATAATCCTTAAATGGAAGACATTTGGGACGACCAGAACCCTTCCAATCGAGGGAAAGATGAATGCGGCCAAGTACAGGGATATCCTGGACAAAAACCTTCTCCAGAGTGCTCAGGACCTCAGACTGGGCCGAAGGTTTACCTTCCAACAAGACAATGACCCTAAGCACACAGCTAAAATAACGAAGGAGTGGCTTCACAACAACTCTGTGACTGTTCTTGAATGGCCCAGCCAGAGCCCTGACTTAAACCCAATTGAGCATCTCTGGAGAGACCTAAAAATGGCTGTCCACCAACGTTTACCATGCAATATAACAAAGAGTGAAAAATTTAAGGGGGTCTGAATACTTTCCGTACCCACTGTATATTAAATCTTGTAAAAAGGGGCATAACCAGGTGCCCTTTAAAACAGAGTCTAGGAAAACTCAAACAGAATTTGGAAAAAATAAAACGGATTTCATAGGGCCCTAAAGTCAGATGAGGAGCAAAAACGCATCGCATTAAACACATTCACAGCATCTCACCGCAATCAATGCGTCACAGAGCGGCTTCATTCTGCGTCTGATCAGTGAGTTTGCTCACACACACACACACACACACACACACCTTCTGCGCAAACATGAGTCTTGTGAAAACCATTTCAACTTTAAGACACGATGACGTCCAGTTTATCAAACTCAAAATGATGGCCTGTAACGTGAGGAGAAACACAAACACAGACAAAGCCCATCAGTGAAACTCTGAAAAACAGCATGTGAACCACAACCACTGACGACCTTTGACCTTTGGCAGAGCGGGTTAGGTGAGCCGCACGAGGGTGAGGGAGGTGATGTTATATTTAGGTGGAGAAGCAGTTTACCCCGCAACTCAAACTACTGCACTTATAAACAAGATGCTCCACTAACCAACCCGGTTAACCCGGTTAAATCTACCAGCTTCATGTCACATGACTGCACAATCAAACCGGCGATCGGCTCTTTGAACAGAATCAATGCCATAGTGATCATCTAACCATGCTCATTTATAATTCCTATGAGAACGCTTCACAATCTGGGTGTGAGTGTGTGTGTGTGTGTGTGTGAGAGAGAGAGCGTTTGAGTGTGTGTGTGTGTGTGAGTTTGAGTGTGTGTGTGTGTGTGTGTGCAC